ATCACTGTCTTTGGTTTGGCTTTTTTTTTCAGGCACCAGGACAGCGACAAGGAACGGACTACAGCGCGACAGTCCGGACTGCCCAGAGGAGGACTAACTGGTGCCAACCTGGCCTCCGTTCAGCGACCTTTACCTGTCCAGGAGTCCAGGGAAACGAGGCAGGCAAACATCAACTGCCTAGATCCAGCCTCACCCTGAACACAACCTTTCTCGGATTCCTCCTCTGATTAGGTTGCTACAGGCATGTGGTACACTAAAACAAACAGCCACAGGAACAGTTATTACCCCACAGGCCATCACTCTTGACACAGTTTACCAATTAACTGGGGCCCTGTACAATAACCCTCGGGTCTCTTAATATCCACTTGAACCCTGAAACCATTTTATTACCTTTTTTTCTCCACTGGGGTTGAAAAATTCAGTTATTTTTAAAATAAAACGTAAATACTATTTTTAATACATTCTACCGTATGCCTGGTGCATAACTGTATGCCTACTGCTATGCTATGTGTGAGTATTAATTCAAATACTAGGAGTTAATAATTCCAGAGCGACATCAAGGTTACTCAAACTTTGTCGTATTTCTATCTCTAATTTGAAAAAAATCCAAATCTCTAGTTTGAAAAGCTGTAAAACACAGATAGCTGGAAAGGTCACAACACCTCACTTTACACATCTGAATAATTGATTAAATTAAGGATGACTAATCTCCTTTCTTCCAACACAGGACTGACCCATGTGAGACTCACAATCACATAACTAATCACATTATCCCTGTATCATTTCCATAACACGAGTGAGTCCGTCAGTGTGTTACATATAGGACCTGTGGCATCTGGTTGGATAAAAACGATCCATGTTTAAGGTAACAAAACAAACAACTTCTTATATTCAGGTGGATTATACACCAAATGAAAACATACCTATGATTAGTATATTGAATTTCTGCCGGCAGAGCCTCCGAAATGTTACACACTGGACCTGGACCAGTGCATTTTTTGAATGTGCATCTGGGAGAATGTAAATAGCAGCAACAAGATAGTGATGATGGTTTAATCTTCACATAAAAAGGTTGACCTTTGAGACATGATATTTGTCCATCAGCTTTGACTGCGTTTGAGCACCAAGCATCATCGATGTAAATACAGAGTACGCCTCCTCTCATTTGCACTCACGCCACTGGGTTCAAACCTGCCAGGCAGCTGGGGCCTTTCTGTGTGGAGTTTGCATGTTCTCTCCGTGCCTGCGTGGGTTTCCTCTGTGTGCTCCAACTTCCTCCCACAGTCCAAAGAATCATAGGATAATTGGTGACTGTAAACTGTACTAGCTGCTTCTTCTGTTCTGTGGCACATCATACTGTTGCCAGTGTTGTATTATGGCTTGTTCAGGACACACACATTGATTAGAATTATTTTCTGGTCTGTTCCAGAAAATTAATTTATGCTTTTATAGAAGAGGACCCATTCCCTCTGTAGATAACAACAGGAAACAAAACAACAATGATTCCTACTTTGAGGCAATTATACGCTAAGGAAAACATACCAATGAATATTATATTCCATTTCATTTCTAGACCCCCCTAAAAGTTACAGACTAAATTTCAAGTCCGAGTCCACTGACAATGTTGCTATGTTAAATTAAATGTTAGCTTTCTCAGGGTGGAAATGTTCCCCCCATTTGGTTTTATCATGTGAAACACCACAGCATTATTGTAAACTGTGAGAGGCTGAAGGTACAAAGAATCTTTTCAGTGCAAGAAGTCCCATGTCAAATCCCTTTAGGCACCTGCTGTTCAGAATCTTAACAGCAACTTTATGGAGAAAAGAAATACTTGAGTATGGAGATGTATACCGTAATTTGAGTTATTACAGAATCTGTGACGAAGATGTTTCTGTGGCATCTTTTATAAACAGACATGAATCACAATTTTGCACGTGAACAGATAAGATGTAGCGTAAAACATTATTTACAGTTGCAAAAACCTTGGGAAATACAGACCTTGACCAAGGAGCTTCTTTGTGGAGGTGATGTAGGTACATGGAGAGGAGTCATAAATAAGAAAATCAAAGGGTGGCACAACCTTGAACGCCTCTGATGTTCATCCAGTTGGGCCAGAGATTTATCCTCACACCAGGCAGTATTTCTAAAGTGAACGATCACAAACTGTTGTATCTCCTTTGACTCAGCTCTACATGGTGCAATGACACCCGGTATACACAAGTCTCAGTGGTGCACCAAACCAAAGAAAGTACTTCATTCTTCATTCAGTTCAAAACAGCTGCCCTGTTTGTACTTGTCGAGCAAGTACAGCTTCTTGACTGAAGAATACAGAATACATGATGTCAGCCCGATAAAGAATCAGGCTTTTTTAAGACAGTCAGTACCATACACTGCTTATACCTAGACATACAGTACTGACTATGGCTATAAATCAACCAACAAAAAAGCAATAGAAACATCCAATATATAATAAGGCCTGTTTTGTTGTTTGTTTTAAATTCAACTTTAGTTTTTACTTCAAAAGTAGATAACAGCACAGTTTGAGTTTTATTGCATATTTAACAGCTAAATTACTTATGTATCAGATGGAAAATTATGTCACAAGTCACATTTGTTCGGAAAAATCAAATCATCTGCTCAGCAAGAAGGCAACTGAATAAGTGGTAAAATGTCTGTGCAAAGTCTTTTTGAATTCTTCACTTTTATGACGCGTGAGCTTATGATTGCATACATCAAATTTACATTTTCCAACTACAAAGCTTAGAAATGCATCAGCCCTCAGCTGATCCTAGCCTGGAGTGACATTTTCTCACAAATATGCCATGACATTTGAATAAATTGATTTCTCGTTCCCTTAGCAAGAAAATTGGTTTGGCATGTGGGAAAGTAATCTTAAATATAGGCTAGTTTTCATGTTTGTTTTCAAGCACCCAGAGCATGTCCAATGATTTTGTACTTTAGGGTCAGATGAGGTTTAAATTGTGGAGAAAAAGATTGTAAAGACTACAGATGGTTAACATCCAGAACCTTTTTGGAATGTTTGAAGTAGATGTAATGTGAAGGGACAAGAATTTCGGCTCCAGACTCTGACAGTCACATTTTACCAAACTGACCATAAAATTGATGATCAGGAACATCAGGGCCTTAAGGAAAAACCCCTTACATTTAATACGTAATATACCCTTCTAAACTGTAAATCACTTGAAGAGAGAAAGTATGATATTCAATTCCTTTAATATGTTTTTCATAGATTTCATTATTGGTACGACAAAACAATGGACTTGTGATGATTTTATTTATTTTGTAAAACAGTTTAAAAACTAAAGAGCTGTTCTGCAGCGGCCCAGGGTTCAAATCCGACCTGCGGCCCTTTGCTGCGTGTCATACTCTCTCTCTGTCCTCCTTTCCTGTCTATCTTCAGCTGTCTTTATCATAAAGGCAATAAAAAAGCCCCCAAAAAAACTTAAAAAAAAACTAAAAACTAAAGAGCTGTTGAAAGAAGTATTAAAGCATCATTCATTTATTCCCTGTATTCAAGTCAAATTACCTGTATTAGGACTACTATTGAAAAGAATTAAAAAATGTATAGCCAGCTCTACATTTTTTTTACAATTTTTCCCCTTTATGTATGCGTAAAATAAATGGGGAGGGACTGAAAAAGGCTCCAAACTATTTAAAAAAAATGCCCTGAAGCAGATTCTCTCTAGTGAAGTTTACCAGAAACTGGTAAAAATTATTTTGTCTCTTTCAAAATATATTGGTTCTTATTCTAGATAACGAGGTGGTTATACACAAAAGAAAACATAGCTTCATTATAAATAAAAGTTCTTGTTGTTCCTTGTTGTGCAAGCTATTGGGTACTGTAGGAACATTTTGCAAGTACGCAAATACATGAATGAATGTTTCCCAATATGTTGATGAATAAATTGGGCAGTATTACATTTAGGAAAAAATGTATTTACTGTTGCAAGTTAGTGGAGCATGAACATCATTTCTTGGAGAATTTCTTTTGAAAAAGGAACACAACAACAAATTACACTCATTAAACAAGACTAGGTAGAAACCTAGTATGTGGTTTGACCATGTACTGTATGGTGCTCCTAAGCTTTTTTAATGCTCGACGCAGCTCCTGCATGTGGCCGTGCACCTCCCAATTTTTGAGGCTAGGCACCCACTATCTGCCCAGGGCATTACATTCAAGAAAGACAACTTCTAAGGGTTGTTGTGTTCGTTTTTTCTTGCTCCGTTGAATACAGAAGTTCACAGGCATCTGTAGAACATGTCATTACATTAGCGGACATTGTAGAACATTACATTTGAGTAAATGATATTTTGCTGGCAGAGTCAAATTGTATAAAATATATTTAACCTATAGAGACATGAGTTTACAATTAATTACAATTCTTCCTCAGCACTGAGGAGCTGTGTAGCAGTGTGTGAAGCCATGTTTATGGTGATCTTCTAGTAACACTTGATGACTTCTTGCTTCTTCCCAGAATGTTTTGTCTGTACACCCTCTGTCCTTTTGGACCCTGCTTTGCTACGGTTCAGCAAAAAAAACACATACAAAATAACGGTGAATGAGTAACAACAGATACTGGTGGCAAGGTAAGGTAATGACAATTTCATCCTACCTTAATGTCAAGTATTATAATGTGTTGAGTGATAACATGGTGTCTATTGTAGTATAGGTGAACTACTGTATCTTAACAAATTGGTAAAAAAGCTAAGAATCAAATCAAACACTGAATGTTGATCCTCTGAAACCCCACACAATGACAGCTTCCCAAAATGTCTTAACTTCACACTTCTTTTGATTCTTTTGATAAGAGAAGAGCATCTGAATTAGTATGACAAATTAAAGATTCATGTGACAAACATGCCTGTCTCCTCTCATAGGATCCATCGTCACACAACAGCAGGCACATGACCTTAAGTCAGAGTAACTAAAGCATACACAGACCAGAAACGTTTCAGTGCCAGAGAGGAGATTACAAAACAATTGAGCCACTCTCTTTTTGACTGTGATACTCAGCTTCCCTGGTGACGCGAGGTGGTCACTCATGTTGTCCTCTTAGGTCTTCGGGTCCAGTCAGAGTTATACTCCCACCGCGTGTGTTTGTGAATTTGTGTGTCCACTTGTGAGTCCACTTTGGTCCTCAGAAGCAACTATACACCACCTTACCTCATTTTACCAGAATGCGTCTCACTACAGAGGAGAAAATAGAGCTTGGACTAAAGGGGCAGGGGACAGTCAATCCTGCATTCGGGGTAAGTGTAGTGTCATCTTAATTCTGTCTTAATTGTTCAGTCTGGCTTTTTTGACAAAAAAAAAGGGAAAAAAAGTGTCAAACACTGGGTAAGAATGTGAGATAAAGCAAAAATCTTTTTAATATGAATAACTTTAAGTTTTTCGTATTTATGTCTTATTATTTAGCTTTTCCTACCAAGAGAAAGCGAGAACTAGAGAGAGAAATACAGTGCTATGTTACATTACAACAGTAAGAGCTAAACGTAAGCCACTGTGGAATGTGAAATCACCAGTGTGCATGTGTTCCACAAAAGACGGGATGTTTCAGTGCAATCGATTGCATGGTTTCAAAGTATGTGACAAAGTTTAACCATGTGCAGTTGAGACGGATCAAAGAGCTCCAAGCTGAAACTAGAAATGCTCTTTGATAAAACACCAATCAGGAAACAGAAACTGAATAAAGGATAGTGAAGTGGGGACGTGTGGTTTGTGTATGGTAAAAGGGTCAGGCTGCATGGGGTGTGCAAGTGTACACAGCTGAGCCCAAGTTGATGTTTCCCCTTTGTTCTCCACATTCCAATTAACTGAAGAATTTAAAAAAAAATGGGAAGAGCAAACAAACAGAACAGCTTAGAGTGCAGATGGGCGAATATGTCAGTCTGTCAAAATCTGCAAAATAATACAGGCAGAGGCACAGGGCCTCATTTATTATTTTTATCCTTGCATTGTATACTACCTGCCACTACTATAAAAAGGCCCAGTGAGAGACTTCTCCCATACAATGAATTCAAATATGTTGAACTAGGACTTACTTTGGTTTCCATATTAACTTTTCATAATTCATTTTTGAGTATGTAAATATATTTCACAATAACTCTTTTAGAACTGTGGACCCTGTTTTTTTTGTATATTTGTTGGCGTTGCTGGGTAATTATAGGCTTTTTTGGGTAGTAGTAGTGTATGTTAGATAAATGCTTCAGAACAACAAGGTGATAAGGTAATGGTGTGACTTCAATTTATAGATTTATAGACACATTATTTCGCAATTTAAACAAATACAAAATCCATGGTCCCACTGGCAGTCTTATCCTTTGTAATATTTAAGTGAGTGAACAGTTAAATAGCATATGTAGTGCCTTATTAAGATTTCCTGCAGTGTCTAAGCTGCTCCTAAGAGCTAAAAATATCAAACGCAGTTTAATTTCTTTAGACAAGTAATAGTAGCTAATTGAGTTCAACCATAATAAAATAAAAGCAGATTAAGATATTTTTTTAAAAGAGAGACCAAACAATTTTCGCAAGTGTAGCAATCATGTATATTTACTTAAAATGGACCCATTTTTTAGATGTCTGTTTGGTAAGTCCATAGCGCGCCTCCGTTGTTGTGATGTGGCTATAATTGGTTAGTTGTAACGATATACAGTACACCTGGTTCACAGAATGTATTTCCTGCCAGGGTTGGGTTACTTAGAACTCAACAGTTCCATGCCACAGATTGGGAAAGGAAATGTGTTTGTGGCATTTTTCTTGCATTTTCCACAAGTAAGCTTTTGTTCGTCAGTTCAGCTTTGTGTCCAAGGGATGTCCATTTAGGGTTTTGGGTATCATTAGTGGATAGAGGCTAAACTCCCAAAACAAAGGCTGGCTTCATGTTAAACAAAATGTCTAACTCTGCTTACATCTCGTGTTACTTTTTGGGGACTTTAGTATTCTTTGGGTAATGGAACGCTGCCATGGTACAGTAACTCTGACCCTTGAACTCCTCACTGGTGATTGTTTTTTATATTGGTAATGGTAGGTTTTGAGGCTCATTCCAGTTTTTACTTATTGTATATTACTGTAGATATTAGTGGCACAGCTGCAAAGATAAGAAACTGAGTTAGTAGAAGTAAAAGTACAATACAGTGTTTTGTTACAACTAATTTATATAATGTGATGCTTTCATGGACGGAGAAAGACACAAAACTAGCAAAGGTCCAAGAAACGTTAAGCAATTGTATAGAAAAACCATTATGCTAGGAAATATGTCACCACAAAAATGGAAGTTTAGTCGTCGAGAAAACAAAAGTCATACAGTGGATAGTAGTTTGTGTTATTAAATATGGCTGTATGTATATTTGTGCATGCATATTTGTATGACATTATGGAAATCAATAAACACAACCTCAGTTATGCTAGTCTGCAAGTCTGACAAAGAGTGGGTCTCAAAAAGACCAGCTCAGTTTGCTTGACTTGTGTCCTCAAACAGGTGAATGAAAACGATTGGCATTTAATGTGGGTATGTAAATCATAGTTTATGGTGAAGAACATGCAGATGAGGTTAGACAGGTTGATGGCATTGTTTTTCTAAGCCAAATGCATATTTGATGTTTAATATAGAGATACTGGTTTGGCTATCAAGGTGAGGTAAGCACCAACAGCAGAGCATTATACACATTAGCAAAGGTAAAGATGGTTGAATATGGGGAAGTCAGTGTTTGTTTGACATTGACTTCAGTGTCAGGTTAGGTGCTGCCCTGGCAAAGTGTGAACTCCACTTCATATTGTACTTTGAACAGCTACAGACTGCTAGGAATGGGTTACTCGCCACATTAACCAGTAATCAACTAGTATACATATATAAATATTAACTTTGAAAAATAGGAAAAACAGAATAATGGCCTGGTAAGCCAATCTTTCAGACCTCTGGATTAAAAGATGAAAACATAGGAGACTAAACAATAACCTCAGTTGGAATCATCAAACCATAAAAGTTCACTTATCCAGCCAACAGAGACAATCAGTCATTTGGAAACTAAAACAGCATCACTGAACCAGTTCTTTCCCTTTCTTCAATATGCTTACAGTCACTGACTAGAAGAGTCCAAGTTCATCCATGCAGCCAGAAAACTGATTGGTCTTTCTACGCCTGACCTTTCTGTCCATATTGTCACAGCTGTAACATGGAAGGCACACATGTCAGCACATGATACTGTACACTAAATAATCATGCTGGCTAGCATCAGTGATGATTAACAACACTTTCATCATACTTCTGTCTATCAGTCTATAATTCTGTTTATTAAAAAGTATTGGTGATCCACATATTTTTTTGCATGCTTCATTTTAGAGAAAAATAGTGTACTCCATTTCTTATCTGACGGATGTGGTGACTACTTTGTACATTAGGAAATGAACTGTTAAAAAATGAGTTTATTGTTGTTAATGAATGCTGTTAATGATAATTAATTAGCAACCAAGTTGCAAATTATTGATATCTGCTTATAGCAAAAAAGCATTAATAACATTTGACATACCATAATGAAATTATTGGTTTAATATTGAAAAAGTCTGTTGCTTTTCCCATCAAAATGTAAATGTCAACATGCACAAATGAGCTGTATGTATAGGAGCAACTCTATCTCCCAAAAGTTACATTTATATACTACTGGTATAGAGATCAGGGTTCACATTTTGAGTCACACTTTGGTTATCTAATCGGAAGGTTGTTGGTTCGATCCCCAGCTCCTGGTGCCCACATGTGAAGTATCCTTGAGCAAGATACTGAACCCTGAATTGCTCCCCGATGCTGTGCATCGGGTGTGAAATGTGTATGAATGCATAGTTTCCCTGTTCGATGGGCTTTGCCATCCGCTGTGTGAATGTGGTGACAAGGGTGAAATGTGGCATGTAGTGTAAAAGTGCTTTTGAGTGGTCCCGGAAGACTAGAAAGTGCTATACAAGTAACAAGCATCCAATTTAGCCACTTATGGACAGTGATCATCGCAGAGGGAGGTTTAACTTGCCTTTATAATTTGAGGGAGAGAGGAATATGGAGCAATGAGGAGAGAGAGAGAGAGAGAGAGGGAGAGAGAGAGAGAGAGAAGGGGAGGGGTGACATGCAACAAATGTCCCCTGCTGAAATCAAACCATGGAAATTGCAATTACATGGTCATTGTCTCAGACCCCTAGGCTATTGAGATATGTGTCTCTCTGCTGTCACCCTAATAAAATTGAGGTATTTGGAACTTTAAGATACTGCAAAAAGTACTTACAATGGCCTCCTCTCCTGTGCAGGACAGTGCAGGTAGATAGCCACTAGATGGAAGCAATGACCATGTTATCACTGAATCAACAGTGTGCGTTCACTACCTGCTGAGAACTTTTACGATGGGAGAGTGAATTAAAGACAGAGACAAAATGTGATGCAGATGGGTCTGCATTTGCACGGTCTGTCTCTGTCATGTTTTTCTCGTGTGAGACAGATGCAGTGGTGGGAGGTGCACAGCAAGGTGTTTTGTTTGTGTGGATGCCAGTTGCGGAGCGAAGGCTGCAACATGTGGCTTAGATTCAGAAAAGTCTGGATGTTATCTTGTGCTAGTGATTACTATTTGAGGCATCCGATGAGAACGATGAAGCAATATTCCAGACATTGTTATTAATTACTAATATACAATAGACTGAGAAAGAGACAGATAGGTGGTTTCATTTGTCAATTAAGATTTTAAATGCAGAGCTGTAAGTACTCACACACTTCAGCAGGATTACAGCTATAACTTAAAATACAGCCACCAGGGTTCCATGTCATCGTGTCTCCCCTTTCACTTTGAAAACATCTTGCTGTTTGTTACACCTTTTCCTTGCAATGCAATCTTACATGTCCTTACCTAAATCTCCACCATTTCCATCTTTAAAACAACCCCCCTGAATGTGAGACAATGGTGTCATTGACTGACTTCAAACAGACACATCCTCAAAAGAGTTTAAACAAACCCTTTGGAAACTGATATGTCCCATGTGGATGGTGTCAAGAGGGAACTGACCTCTTTGCATTTGATGACACTTAATGGGTCTCACAGGGCATCTCATCTCATCATATTCTGTATACACATATACATAATCCTGAAAACAGAAGGCAGAACGGTTGGGGTACCTTATATAACTTTAAGTAATTTCCCCACAGGGATTATTAAAGTATTTCTGATTCTGATATATCTCAATTGGCCAGAGGTGTTATTCTATGTCTTTATAGTGTTAATGCATTGTGTAACCACCAAATCAGTTTTGCACTTCAAACATCCTCAGAAGTGTTTGTACAAACCCACAGGAAAATGATCTGTCCCATGTGGCCTGTTTTAGGAAGGAGCTGACCTCTTTGCATTTGAAGACAGCCCCTGGTCTCACATATCAGGTGGCCCTTAAAAATCACTCACACACACTTAATAGTTATTAATGCAAGTCACATCGCCATCAACACCTATCACTTCTTTCCAAATGATACCAAAGAAAGTCCCTGGACAGAACAGGCTCTAGTCTAGTTTTATATATATATAAAGTGCTTCTATTGGTGTATCACATCTGTCACTGTTATTGAGACTTATTTCTTTTCACATTAACCACCTGACCTACTCTATCTCTCTTTGGGAAGAAAGCCAGAGCCTTCAGTCTTGCATACCTGAAGACCAGAGGACCACACTCGATATCTATTTTTCTAACATTTCTGTGATTTGTCTTGTGCTCTATCTCACCAAAATGATTTAAACGGCAAAGAAAAACTTGTCTTTCCAGGAACAGTATTCTTTCAAGTCGAAGAAGTAGTAGAAGAAATACAAATACGGTCTGTGGTTTCAAGGATTTTTGGTATTTGTAAGAGTAAACTGAATCTTGCAAAACATGAACAGTGAGGGAGTTACATTACACATAACTTATGTTATTTAGCTGACACTTTGATATAAAATACCTTGTATCACCCCTACACAGATTTATGTGCCCCTGATGGAAACAGAACCTCTGGCGTTTTGGCATCATGTTTCCAGACATTTGAACAGTAGTCAGAGCCAAAAATAAGGGCACAGAGCTCCAGACCTCAGGTCATTTTCCCTGATTGTTAAACCTGAATACCACTTTCCCCCTGACAAAAGTTAATTTTTCATACTAGTGGTACACTGTCTGCAAACCATTACCTTACCAGCATTACATTGACTTAATTCAAATGAATGCAAATATATAACCTTCATTTTTATGCATATTTAAAATACCCCGAACTTCAGTTTCCTCAATTATTGATTATTATTGATATTCGGAATTTCCCCATTGTTCGGAATTTCCCCATTGTGGGACAAATAAAGGAATATCTTATCTTATCTTATTGCCATTCCTTCTGTAGAACGATGACACACACCTGCACGCACGCACACATACCAAACTAAACATGTAATGAATACAATGCAGAAACATGTACTTTCATCTCTCTGTAAAAACTTATAGCAGTGGCTACAAAATATGGTCAATATCTTACTTAAGTTTTAACAACAGCTGTCCAAACATCCTCTCTTCAGGTTTCTGTATACCTCAATCCAGCCACTCTCAGTGGCTGGACCCCAATCCAGCAAACTCAGTACCTCTTTGTCAAATCTTGTCTTGCTTTGACACAAAAATAAGGATGCTATAATCTCTGAAGGTGACAGAGTGGAGGAAAATGCCATAGTGCAACAAAAATCACTGTCTTTCGAACAATACATGAAATTTTACATGACTGTAAAAGGTCAAAAATGTTGTGTGGGAGGACCACCAGAGCAGTTGAGCTTTAGGCACCTTCATCAACAGCATCTTGATAGGATTTGGGAGAAGGTATGTGGTGTTCACCCCACTTGCCTTCCATAATCGCCCACATGGATGTTCCACACGCCATAACTCATCTCATTAATTCCATTGCGTATGCTCAGTATTTATGTCTCTCATCTGAACTAAACTAAACCAACAGCTCTAGATTACACTGGAAAGAAAACAGTGAAAAAGCAAAACCATTAAAATGGCCTTGGCACAGTGAGAGTCTCTGGTATGTGCAACCCAACAGTGAGAGACTGGTTTGAGATATGTTTGTGTTGTCAGAATATTCTGGGAGTTGGTGTATGTCTCCAAATAGTCTGGATGGAATTAAACCTCAATTGGTAAGAAAATATTGTTTTTTATTTGATGTTGCTTGGATAAATAAAATTGATAAATGAATGACTTGTCTGCCTTTGGTGTGCTTCTTTTCAAGGACAAAGACAGTGATGAACAGCCACAGCTGACAGTGGACATTGGGGAGCCACACACAGAGCCCCTGGAGGAGACTGTGGACAGAGGTGTAGATCTGGTTTATTCCCTCAATGACAGGCCACCGTGGTACCTCTGCATTCTGCTTGGCTTCCAGGTAAATTAATCTCATGGCTTGTTTGGTCTTGTCTGAGTTGTAATAGTACTGCATAAATTCCTCTTTAAAGTAATTCCTGTGAACAAAATGCACAGGTTTAAGACTGCTCTGAATACTATAGGTTTCCAACTGGTTTTTCTAACTGGATATCTGGATACACACCCATTCACCTGCTCAATCTTTCTAGTCTCAGTCTTTCTAGTCATTTGGCCATTCTGCTCAGTATGTCTCACAGAGAGTGCTTTTTCAGTTTTTAAGGAAAGTTAGTTTGTTGATAGACATATGGCTTTACTTGTTGCTATAGTGACTGCTAACTGCATGCAGTCCGATGACCAATAGCTGACTCCTCCCAGACATGGAGCTCAGACCACTGAGGGAGTGTTGGTGTTTACACCGATAGAACAGGAGCTTTCACAGGAGGAGGATTGGCTGTAAATCACCTCGGCACCGTATTCCCTGTAATCAAACTGGTCTCTGTCGGTGTAGGAGGCTGGGCTCCGTAGCCTGCTCTGGTTCTGGTGCCTATTCCGATGCCGCTCCCTGCTAGCATTCCCCACTGGTACCCCCGGCATGGGCCTTAAAACCTCATCCTGGCAGTCCAAAGATTCTGTGCTCTGTCAGTGGGTTCAACATCTGCTTTTTGTTCATTCCAAGAACAGTACAACTTTTTGTGCTCTAAAAGCAATCCAGCAGATTTTTTCTAAATCGAGTCCAGTGGCTCTCACTGTAAAATATAAAAAGATTTTGCTGACATTCAAAAGTTGAAGCTGCCATTCTCATGATGTTGAAAATGTTACACTCCTTTTTAAGCAGCTGTCACTTACTATGAGTCTATAATCCACATGGATTTGATTCTGTCATTAAACCTGATATCCTCTTATCTAGCAGCTCTGAACATTTCTCAATAAATTATACTTCCAAATCGCATGTTTGAGGAGAAAACTTCAGGGTACTTTATTTGGTTTATTACAAGTGGACATCTAGGGTGAGGGAAAGTGTCCCGCACACAACATGTAGAGATTAGGAGAATATTTTAATAAACCGGGAAATGGACAGTAAAAAGGAGATGATAAAAAGTCTTACGTAACAAAATCAGAAGACCAGAAGGTCATGAGTTTTATTTCAGAGCAGAGCAGCCATGACATTTGAATCATGCAGTAAAATTAGTTACAAGGTAGCCCAGCAAAATAGATAAATCAGCAATTTAGTTTAAGAGCTTAATATTTTGTTTTATTGTGCATTAAAGACCCTTGGAAAGTAAAAGTCAGGAACATACTGTGGTACTTTTTAACATATTTCATACTAATGTTTATTCTTTCAAGCTGTGAGTATCAAACAAGACACGTCTGTTGACCGCTGTGAATATTATAACTATTGGCTGCTTAGTTTCTTGTTTTTTCCAGTTTTGTTATCATTTATGTGCATTTCTTTGAAGAACACATTCAGTAAGCACACATTTTGGAACACATCAAAGGTAAAAACTACAGCCCCATACCCTTAAGAAAGTTATTTGCAGTGATATAAGACATTTTTTGTATGTTATTCATAATTGCATCATTTCTGTAAACAGTTACCCCTTATTCTGTCATAGGCATTTTTTTTAAGCTTGCTGTGTGATATGACACCAGGCTATGTGTAGAAATGTAAGAATAGTGCACCCCAGTATAAACTATCTCAAGAGTGTCATGGTGTTTAAAGGCAATGCCCCCCTGCAAAAAAACAGCTGCAAAAACTTCTTTTTTCACAGGGATCATTACCTTTCTCCAACTTTTCCATTTTTATAGCCCCTTGCACCTCTTTCGGTCACCTCATTGTTTTCACTTGAACACAAACTACATCCTTTTCCCAGAAATCAGTATCATGACTTCCAGGAAAAGTACTATGTGGTATGCAGCCAAAGCTTGTGATCTTTTAAGTGTTTACTTTGTTTTAAAAATATATATTTATTATATTTTGTTTAGTAGTTTGGCAAGTGTTGCCAAAGTCCTTTTTAAGGAAAAATGCCCAGCTCCTCTGTTTCAGCCCTCTCATTTGCTGGTTTTCTATGATAGTGTACGTTCTTTGGGGTTTGGACTGTTGGTTGAACAAAACAAGACATAAAAGGCAGCACCTTAAACTCTGTGAAACTGGGATTGGCATTTTTTAATGACATTTCAAACAAAATCAAGAAGCAAATCAGGGATTAATTGATAATTAAAATAATCATTATTCGCAGCCTTAGGTACACCGTGGCACTGTATCTCAAAGTATATTAATGGGGACTGCCTCGCCTTGTAATGAGGTTCATAAAGTTCAACTGAAAAGTTTTTCTTATGGCTGATACTAAGCTACTGACGGCCACCAGCCAAGGAAGCAGCCATTACGTAAGACATAGGTCTTTGCCTTGCCTAACAGTCGGTGCTTTTTTTGTTGCTGTTGTTGGTATCATGTCTAATTTTACAGGTATTTGTATTGTTGATGAAAAGAATAAATATGAAAACCATCCAACTGAAACCCAGAGAGATGACAGCAATTACACATTAAGGTTAACAACAAAGTGTTTATAAAGGTTAGCACTCGTTAACATTTTCGTTTCATTGGGCACTTTAAAACCACTGTCTTCCAAACAGGAAACACATGAGAAGAAGAGGACGTTTGACTTTTTAATCACAAATGTTGCTCGCTACATCACGTCATTCAGTAGAAAGGGATAAATCTGCAGGATGGTTAGACAGGCAGCACAATTCCCCCGCATTTGAATGTTGTAGGACATGTCACCAAGGTTCTCCTAGCTGCGTTTGATGTAATTTAAACAATTTTTCTTCCAGAAGTCTTAGTATTTATATCCAGCATTTGGCTACCCATGACTATACTATCTTATATGGACACTTACTTTAGACCTCTCTACTCCCAAGCCATTTTTTACAAGGGTTTTTCTGTCAATTTCTTGCATTTTTCTCCCTTATGGACACCAACTTTTGGTACTCAATAAAAGCTCCTTGTTGTTTCTCCCTTTGATCGATTTGAGCAACTGCAAACAACGCAAAACAGGCAATTTGAGACGTAATGTGCAAACTGCTACTGTAATCCACGTAAAAAATTGAATTCTGAAAAAAATTAATTTCATTCAAAATTTCATTTAACCTTTAATCAAAATCCAAAAAGTGCTCTCTTCTTTTTAAATTTGGACACGAGATAATTTAAAAATTCTTCTTTTAAAATTTGAGATTTCAATAGATAGCAAAGTTCCTCCCCTACCAGTGTCATCCATGGGACCTTATTTAAAAACAGTCTATATATGTTTTGGTCGTGTCGGAATTGTGCCATGAATCATACATATGATGGTTGCCAATTTAAAAGATAATTTTGCAAGTCATGAAAGTCGCAGTTTGTCATAGTAACATTTAGTCTTCTGTGAAACCGCTCAGTGAACCGCCTCTTGTCTTGCACAATTTTTGCTACCAACACCAACATGGCTGTCACCTTATCTTATCTTACCTGATCGGTTTTCTCCAGCAACTCCTCCTCCTCCTTTTATCAGCTGGGAAGCAACGGAAAAAAACAAAACAAAAAAAAAACGGAATTGTGTCAGTGTCATACATATTTTTTTCTGAAATAAATTCCCACTGGAAGGGGAGGGATTTGACTCTCTATGAAACATGACCAAACATGACCAGTCTTGGTCAATAGTAAACCATCTTGACAGTGCTGACTTTTGAGGCAACAAAGTGGCTGTTGACATACTCAAAACATGGTGAAAATTAGTACATAAAACGTGACGGGGGTTTGGTCATTCAGGCCAAACACCCTTTGGTCTCATACTTTATGAGCATCACTTTCTCAGTTTCCATGTTCAATTTGTAAATGTTTCCATGTCTGTAAATCTGAGATGAATATAGAGTTACTTGACATGTATGAGGCCTTGTAAGTGGTCTTGTTTCCTAAAGGAGTAATCTTCCTAGGTTCCTCTGCGAGTTGTAGGGTCGAAAATACCTCTATAAATCAGGTGAGGCCTGTCAACATCTGTCTTTAATTGTTTTTCTCTTAGTCTAAATTCTTTTGAATCAATGGCAATCCCCACCAACCCAACACACACATATGCAAACATAGGAAGAGTGTGCAGTACAGTTAAGCCTTGCATTTGTCTGTGTGTTTAAACAAGTTCAAATTGGCAGTATTTGTTTTCTGGTGATTGCATTCAATTTCACAGACACAGATGTTTCACAGTTTGTTTGTTTTTTTGTTGTTCTTGAAGAAAAAGTTAAGACATCACTGTTCAATTCAAAATCAGTTTTCTATATTAATAAAAAATACTGTACCAAAGTTTTACATTTTAAAATGAATAAATTGTAATCAGTTTAGAGGGATATTATGCTGGATTGTTCAAAACTCTGCCACAATCTGTATTTCATAAAAGAAAGTGACTTTTTGTTAGCTTACAATAACTCTTCTTGATACATATTAGTTATAGAGCTATTATGAAGGTTTTTTTTAGCATCTTGTTTTTCCACCATTCATTGTGTGCATTGCATTGTGTGACTTGCAACCAAAAGTAATTAAGGTAAATCTCTTGATTTGGAAAAACATAAATACTTCTGATTTACATATTGAAATAAAAAACAACTTTGTTTTACCCCTCCTAAGAGTCCCCAAATGTATCCACATTCATCTGCCTCCACAGCATTACATCCTCGCGTTCGGTGGCATCATCGCAGTCCCGCTGATCCTGGCCGAGCCCCTCTGCATAAAGGACAACAACGTTGCCAAAAGCCAGCTCATCTCCACCATATTCTTTGTGTCTGGATTATGTACGCTGCTGCAGACAGCTGTCGGTACCAGGTAACACCCCCTTATTATCTCACAGGAAGTTACACATTGAGTAAATTTTTCAGATTTGACAACTTCTGCTTGCGTGTGAACATTTTAAGTACTCTAACTCTCTGTGGGCTGGTATTCATTGGTGTGTGTGTGTTCACCTTTTATGTAGTGCTGTCTGCACTACATAAAAGTTTTAGATTTACAGCAAGAAAGGTTAAGAATGTTCACAAGATGCAGGAAACTCTCATGTGTTTTCCTTTTCACACACCTTTGCCCTGAATGTTTTGCGTGTCTGATGATGAGGATTACGTGACGGTATACTTCTGTCCTCCAACACTGACCTTATAATACCTCCTTGCAGTGGTCCTGTCATGATTTAACAAACTTCATGCCAGTGCTGAGCTCTATGTGCAACAGTCTGAATTTACAACTCAGCGTACAGAGAGACCCCTGTGGTGGTTCATGTAGAGTTAAACTGTGTCAGTCCACCACTGGGCTCTATGTGTCACAGTGGAAGTGAGATTTCCCCTTCAAGATAAGTTCCGAAATAGTTTTCCTCAAAGCTGTGCGATCTCTAAATTTTACGCAGCTTATTTTGTGGATTTCCTTTTATAACAGAGATGTGAGATCCTGGAAGCTGTTTGGCACTTTGATAGGAAAATCCTTCTGAAACTGACGCATCAATCTCTATGCTTCACAACAGTGCAGCTGCCTCCCACACATACAGTACAGGGCTCCACACACACTTTTCGGCCCACTCAGCACTGTAACAGTAAGCCTGAGCAAATAGCTAATGCTTTTGTTTGAGTTCTTTACCTACACAGTTTGGCAAAAGCTTAAGGGGACAAAAATGGAATCCCAGCACATTGATATTGAATAATAAAACAGTTAATCTTTATTTGTATTGGACCATTCAAAACTGTGGTATGAAGGGCTTAGTGAAATAAGAGAATATAAAGAATATATTTTTTAAAAAGTGCATAGAAATACATACGCTGCAACATAACAAAAGCAGTGGTGGAAGTATTTAGATCCTTTACATAAGTAAAAGTACTTATACCACCATGTAAAAATACTTTACAAGTAAAGATCTTGCATTGAAAATATTACTTAAGTAAAAGTAAGTATAATTAGATAAATAGTATTTATCATAAAGGTGTGACTGTTGTAATACTATAATATATATTGTATTATATCATTAGGTTATTATGAGTATTACATTGAAGTAGAAGCAGTAGTTGTAGTTGGTTGAGGTAGAGCTTGTTTTAAACTGTTTTATATAGTGCAGCTAATGATTATTTTCATCATGGAATGGTTATTCATTATTATTATTATTTTCTCCATAATCCATAATCTATTGCTTGTTTGGTTTGCAAAAATTCAAAAAAATAGTTAGAAATGACTTCACAATTATCTAGAGCCCAAAGTGACACCTTCAAAATGCACAACTAATAGTACAAACCTTAAAATTATTTAAAATAAATACAAATTAATTAAATAATTAAAAGGATAAAAAAAAGCAAATATTCACAGCTGGAACCATGAAATGGTTGCAGCTATAGTTGTATAAACTGTTTAAGTTTAATATATATATATAAGAAATATCATATTTTACAAGTTTTTACAAGTTTTACAAGTGCCACCATGGAAGCCCCGCCACTGCCAACCCTGTAAGGGGTTTCAAGTTAAATCGAGCCTGCAGGAGGATTGACAGGATGAATATTTGAGCATATCCAGGTCTTTCAGGTCTACAGAGACATGACATCATATGGTCCAGTGATCTCTTACCTTTAACCCTGTCACCTTACTGAATTGCAGGTTACCAATCCTCCAGGGTGGGACCTTCAGTTTTATCACTCCAACCCTGGCCATTCTTGCTCTACCCAAGTGGCAGTGTCCAGCCCCAAAAGAATCTGTGATGCTGTCTGTTCAGCTTCAGAATGGCACCAGTCCCCTGCAAATGGAAAGTTCTGATGAGATATGGATGTCAAGAATGCGTGAGGTATGTATCATATTTACTTTAGCCAGAAGATTATTCTCAGCACCTTAAATATCCTTGCACGGAATCCAATCGGTCACCTTAGCAGTGGTAATGGATTGAAGGGGAACGATGAAGATCCTGTATCATTTTTGTCACACCTTAATGTTTGCATGTTGAGAAACAGTCATATGGTTCAGAACATTCTCCTCATCGCTACATGTCTGCATCCAGAAAGCATACACAAAATTGACCAACTTAAGAGATTTGCATGCCAAACTTGGCAATACTGAATTTAAACAAATTGGTAAAATTTGAGCTAAAAACTATGGTTAAAAACACCAACTCAAGAACTGTCTTAAAATGACAAAATTTCAGACAAACAAACCTTGAAATTCAGATAAAGTACTACCTGGTGTTGTGAATAAAAACCTTAAAAAAAAAAAAAAGTGAATATTTAGGGCATAAATCTCCAGATTTTGGTGGGAGGACACAATTTCGCATTTGAACACAATTTTGGGTTAGGGGTTTCACCAGTGACACTTTACATTGAGGGACACAATGTACCGGTGAAACAGTACCCCAAAAGTGTGTTCAAATGCGAGGCTATGTAGGTAAAAACACAAACATTAGGTTAAACAAGACCCAGAAAAAATAAAAAGGCAAGATTTCTACTAAAAATCTGGGAAGCATTTAAGGAAAAACCTGGAAGTGCAAGTAAAAGCTTAAAAAGTAGGTAAAGCGAATGATTAGTGTAAAAACTATATAGGATGAAGGTCTTTTCATGGTCGAGCCAGGAGTTCGCGTGTTTAGTGGTGAGCTCCTGCAATGACTGCATCATTGTATCTCCTTCTGTCAGCAGGTGTTTGCGTAAAATATTTTTCTCAACATATACATGTCATGTTTGTTTAAAAAGAGGGACTTCTGAAGGGGACTGATTGTACAGTTACCACACCTTTAGATAGCTTTCAGTAGGAAAGATTGACATGTGATAACTCTTCACTACTAGTTTCTGAGGTAGGACTTTACCACTGTTTTGCTACTTTTACTTGAACACTTAATTATATATCAGTTTGACAAGACAGAACTATGCAGAATAGTGGAACTGTAGGCTTGACGTTCAACAGAATAACAACTTCAAGGTGAGAATCTTAAAGCCATCTGTAGAGGTGGATTTATGAAGCTACCTCTGCAGTTTAAACAGGTTTTTTTTATCTCATGTGCAGCACCTCTCTTTTCTTTTTTTTCTTATTTTGTCTTAATGTAAGACTTCACATGGGTAACTACTATGGAATAGTAATAGTTCAATAGTTCATACATCATTCGTTAACATAAGTTAAGATCACATGACATAACATTACATTTTCTCCATAAAACTTTTTAGTTTAAAGATGCCTCCTGGAATACCATTGGTATGCTATGATGCACAGTTGAGTACAAAAAATCTGGCTTATGTAATTGTGTGTATCTTCTGTAATTCTGTAATTGTGTGCCTTGCTGTCCACAGATCCAGGGGGCCATCCTGGTGTCCTCTCTACTGCAGATCGTCCTAGGATTTTCTGGACTGGTGGGCCTTGTGCTGAAATGCATTGGCCCGCTGGCTATCGCTCCCACCATCAACCTGATCGGCCTGTCACTGTTCATTGAAGCTGGGAAGAAGTCTGGAGGTCACTGGGGAATAGCTGCTCTGTGAGTAGTTGTTTACACCAATGTGTTGCACAAACGATATAAACATGTTAATCACAAACAAACAATATACTATATATATTTATATGCACCCCTATATATGCATATGCATTTCAGTGTATCTGTGGCTGTGTGCTCATGGTCATTGTCCTGCTGGAAGGTAAAACTCAACCCAAGTCTCTTACAGACTGAAACGAGTTTTATTCTAAAATTGCCTTGTATTTGGCTCTATCCATCGTGCCCTCATTCCTGCCGAGTTTCCCAGTACCCGCTGATGAATGTGGGGATAGTGTGCTTAGGGTGAGCGATGGGTTTTCTGCCTCACATAGCATTTAACATTCATTTCAGTCAGACAACCTACGGCTACAGGTGGATGCTGGGGTGGGGGGCTTACAAAACGCAGCAGCAGGCTGCATACGGATGCAGAGCAACAGCGGCCATTGACAGAGCAGAGGGAGAGAGAGCTGGGGAAAATTTTGCAATCTTAAAGGCTGCCAGATTGGAAGGTGCGTTTAGTGATTATGGAGTGAGGCATGTCATGTGTGTATAGCAGCGCAGCTCGAGTTGACTGCCTGAACTATCTCGCAGGATTCCCTCCATTTTTGATCTCACCTGGCCAGAGTACATTCTTTCATATGTGAAATGGGATTTCTTTCAGCAATGGCTCTCTTCTCGCTACTCTTACATTAGTACATTACTAATTGTATTCTTGTGGACAGATTCCCCCACCTGAGCTGTGGATCTTCCCAGCTCCTCTAGAGTTACCATTGGCCTTTTGGGTACTGGTTACTCTGGTTAATGCTTTCCTTGCCCATTTCATCATTTTAGGTGCAAAGCCTTCTCTTGGTAGATTTGCTGCTGTGCCATATGTTTAAATTTTCTGATCTTGGGTTCTATAATGATAGTGTTCTGTGAAATATTCAAAGCGTTGCATATTTGTTTTTATAACATAACCCTGCTTTTTACTTTAGCAACATTCTGCAACAAACTCTGAGGCCTTCACAGAACAGGTGTATTCATATTAAGATAAAATTGCACACAGGTGGACTCTATTTAATGAAGTGTGCGACTTCCGAAGGCAATTGGTTGCACATGATCTTAGTTAGGGGGTCTCACAGCAAGCATCTGTTTAATTGCGGTGAAATGTGGGTTATTATGAGGGCCGCATTATTTTCATCAGGAACCCTTCATACTCTGCATTAGAGCATCTGTAATTTGTTAAGTCTCTTAATTCACTTATTCAGGTTTTTCCTTTATTTTTTGTATGTATATGTACTTTCAGCAGAGAAGAGTTTAATAAACTCTGTGATCAGTTTGGATGCTGTAGTGCTGTTGAACTGTATTGTGGACAAAATAATGTGTGAATACACTGTACTGTATGTCTCTTCTATAGCTTAATAAGATTAGGAGTAATGATAAAATTGCAATTCTTGATTGATATAATAAGATTAATGTGGGTATATTTGAACATAGCAACGTAGCAACAACAAACCTTAGCTTTACAAATACAGTACAGTAAGATAAGACATAGGATCACATGGGAAACTAATAACTTTCCTTGAAAAAGAAGTCCTTCCATCCTGTTTACACATTCCAACAAAATCAAAGTACCATGTTTCTGTGCATCCAAATGTTTGTATTAATTCAGTATGTATTTGCTTGTTTTCCACCCCCTTTGTTTCTTTATGAAAGCAGTCAAGTCCACTACTTAAATCCACCTAATCTCCACAGCTACTGCCACTGCAAGTCACTGTTCCACTTTATCTCTCCATTCATTTACCTTTGCTCCTGCCCTGTCCAACCTCGTGAAATCTGTCTTCATTTACCGCCGCCATCTCCAGATAATGCAGACTAAAGTCATTACATAAAGTGATCCTTGTGGGTTTTAAAAGGTTCAGCACATCCACCCCCTGGTGTCATATATGGATGGTAATCAGTCATATCCTTCTTAGCCTCGGTGCCCTGACCCCCTAACAGTCTCAGTTCAAGAGCAGCAGCTTACAAGAGTAGATAAACAAACATCTTGTGGTTGTAATTCAACTCCCAGCACACAAAAAAATACTTAAAACTATACTAGTCTGTCATAAGACACAGTACACAAGAAATTAAAAAGTACATTTCCAAAACATGATCAATATCAAATAAAAGTCTAAATATAAACATGGTAAGGATATATGTTCAAAACAGTGAGAGTCCTCAGAGCACTGAGAGTTCCAGATTGTCACAGCTGAGGAACTCAGGAAGGGAAGATAATCCTGTTGATCTCCCTGATATCACATCATCCCCTGCACCTCCCCCCACTGGCCGCAAAAAACAAGATAAATGAAGATTTATTGGAATTTATATATTTTTTTTATCTCATGCACATATTTTACATTCCATGTGTCAACTAGATTTTTAGACTGATTTTTCTGCTGTGGTCATAAATCTAATCTAGATCAGTGACTCAGCTACAATGTAGATGTTTAAATCATATTTGAGTGATTTGCTCATTATGTGAAACAAAGTAAAGCTGAACGATACTGGGGAACTCTTTTTTCCAAAATAAAACTCTGTCTGGTAGACCTTTCTAAGTGTTCACCAGGCTGCAGAATTTCCCACTGAAATAACATGTAACATAAAACTCGCATTGGCCCTGAACAGTATTTCATGCAAAGTGTGCAGTGTTTTCACACACAGCATGGAGTGCTTCATGCGCAGCATGAAATGCCAGTCAAAGGCAGGGAACTGAGTGTATTTTGTCAGAGAGCTGAGTGAAATTGAAGACAAACTCAAGGTATATTTTGATGTTCTAAAAAGCTTGATGTTGGCCTATCAGTGTGCACATAAAGAAGCAAGGTATTCTTATCTCTCAAATTTGATTGCTAGAAGCTGCTACAGGCAATAAACTAACCCTCCTTCCCTTTCTAGCCAGCAAGGAGAAGCATCCACTTTTTCCACCATTTCTTCAATAAATAAACGGCATTAGGTTCCATATCCCACTTGTGAACAAGAAATCTCCTCATATGTACTGAACCCTCTGCCAGTATGTCTCACTTGCCTCAGTGCTACCGCTCAGACAGACAGATATTTCTCTGTTGGGATAATTCTCTTCATCCCGAGCACCATCATGTGGTGTTTCCCAGGGGTCAATTATTGGTCCTATATTTATTTAGGACAGATAATCCATGAGTATAATATTAAATTCCACTGTTACCCAGATGATATGTAACTTTCCGCTGATTGGTAGTGATTAATTTTCTCACGCTATGGCTTGTCTGTCTGATATCAAATACTGGATGTCACAAAACTTCCTTTTGGCTCAATGAGTCCTCTGAGGTCCTTTTATTCAAACCCCAAATCCTGACCCTTGCCTTGAAAACAATTCTGGGAACCTATCCTCAAACATCAAACATTTCATATACAATTTGGGTGTGATCTTTGATTCTGAGCTTTGTTTTGACATACAAATCAAACTATTATTATTATTATTATTATTATTATTATTATTATTATTATTCAATGTTCAAACAATTTTGCCGCACTGCTACTGTTATTTACTAATAATCGTCCACAATGACAAGTATCATGTAGGCGGGCCTGCTGTGTAAAATGACATGTGTATACTTGCTCCGACCTTGGGAGAAACAACTGTGAGTGACAAATATGGGCCTGTCTTCTGTTTTTCTACAGCACGGTCTGTCTGATCCTCCTGTTCTCTCAGTATCTCAGCAAAGTCGATGTTCCAATGATTGCTTACAAGGATAAGAAGTGGAAGGTTTTCCAGTATCCGCTCTTCAAGCTCTTCTCTGTGAGTTGCCAACATTATCCAGGTCTCATATGTTCTGCTTGTCTTTTATCATGGGAAAAAAACTTAGTCTTTATTTTAGGACTTATGGCCCATAAAACCCTTGCTTTAGAACTATAAATTTTAATGAAAACACAGTGCAATAAAATCATCTAGTATCAAGCCAAAGTCTGCCAGTTGAGTGTGTTAAAGTGACTTAAACAAACAGTCTTGGAGTGATGGTGATCTTTAAAACATGTTTTTGTATCTAGTTAAAAATGACCAAAGTAAAGATAACATTTCTAAACAAGTGGCTTTAGGTGAGATTAGTGAGAAAATCTAGTAGGGAATGCTAGATAATCTTTCTATATTCAAAACAAGTGAAACTAGATTTTTAATTTAAATACAAGTTTATCCTACTTATGTAGCGTACTTAAACATCTGGGTTTTTTTTTAAATGCAAGTGTTCTTATCTCCATTTCTGTAGCCTCTGTGCAAATAGTGTTGCTTTCATCTTTTACCAGTAAAAATAAAGTCTACAGGAAGTGTTTAGTCACATTCGATCCACGGTATCAGCTTGGACTAAACAACTTGTTTTAAAGAAAACAGAGAAAAAAGGTTTGTTTGGCTTTCACAGTAGATAGTGTCTTTATTTCAGGGAGGTATATATAATACTTATTTGTGAATCTTGCTAAATGCTGACCCTTTATTCTTTATAACACTGAAATAGCAATCAGTGTGAAAGGGTATGAAAAAATTAGCCCCATTTCAAAGCCTTCTACTATGACTTGTGATTACAGTTATTACCTGCCACATGCCTGTAGCGAGGGACCAACAAAGAAACTGCATTATAACCTTTTTTTTCAGGAAGGATCTTAGTAAAGCACACAGGCTCTTGTTGACATCCGCCCTGCTTTACATTCATGCAGTTACATACCTAGTCAGTATGAGAGCTGACAAGCACAGCCACAATCCTCTACTGGTTGCAGTCAATCAGTACTCAGCGGATACAGATTTTACTTTGTAAGCAAAAGTTATTTACACTGTGACAAGTGAGACATATATTTTGAACTTTAATGCAGATTAACCCTTTTCCATCAATAAACATGACATATATCTTTATGTCAACAATAGCCAAAATAAATACATCTTGGCAGCAGCCAAGGGTTGGTCGGCCACGCTTTGAAGCTCCTGGGTGTGACTTTGTATAACTCCTTGAAGGTTCAGAAGGATGGTGAGGAAAGATAATATACTGTACATGCTAATGAAATGCTGATTCAATAAATAAAGGTTTATTGAATCAACAAGACTCTAAGGTCTCTTGATCTTACAGTATATGGTAATGTTTTAGCTAATCATGTATGCTGTCCATCATCAAATTAAGCCATGCAAAGCATACAGTATGACTCAGCATGAATGAATGAAGGATTAGCAGCATAGAAAGAGCCCATCTACTGTATGAGGTTAGTCAATGCTTAATAGTACACACAGCCTTTTGCCAAGTCCTATTCATCATTAAGTGGCCAAATAATGCATGGTATCATAGGTCTACTGTATTTTAGTACTTAAATCACATCGTATGTATAATTTGTAGCTATAATATGACTCTTTTATAGAGCTCACTCAATTTCTCTTAGCTTTTGAGACTTTAGGTGAAACTGTCAACATGACATCAAAGCAGAAATCAAGTAAATTTGAATTGCATGGTTGTCTGGCTTGCTTTTTTGCACTCAAGCTACTGTCTGACTGTTCTAAAAGACATGCCCATGACAAAACGCCCTCTTGTGCACAACTCTTTGCTCCCAAGTAATCTCTGTACAAATACAATCAGAAACCATGTTGTATGAAGACACATGCAGTGCAGTTATGCATATAAATGAGTTCCTTTGCATTAATCTATTGGAGAGGGTTGGAATTCAGCTGCAGGGAGAGAAGTCTCAGCCCCTCTTCACACCTATGCTCTAGAAGATTCTTACCTAACAACTGTGCTTGCAGTTAGGGGTAGTCCAATTTACTGGTTTTAAAATAGATAGGACTGTCATTGGCTTTTGATAAAACACAGATAACAGGCAGGCAATGTTAGCTATGTGTGCTTTTTGGGGCTAGTTGTGTAGTTGTGCTCAATAGCTTTAAGGTCTTCAAACACCAGGCCTCGAGGACTCGCTCAAAATAATTTCAGTAGTGTATGTTTTGTGTTGGTTGAACTTCAGTTTAAATGTACTGAGACAGTCTGTATCTGATAACAAATTCTAGGCTTTGTTCGGGATGTGCGGTGCCTGGCTGGTCTGTTTCTTACTGACCATCTTTGACGTCTTTCCTTCAAAATCCGATGAGTACGGCTTCTCAGCAAGGACTGACATCAACCTGAATGCTGTGACAAACTCCCCTTGGTTCCGTGTGCCTTACCCAGGTAAGTGCATAATAAATATCATACTTTGAAACATACTCCTGGATGTGGTCAAACCATGGTCACATTGTATATAAAGGATATATTTCACAAAAAGTGATTTTAGTAGTTGCAACACACATTGTAATAACTATGTAGGATTAGTCATTTGACAACTCTTTTTTGTTTTCAAATATATGTGCATGCAAAACAAAAAAGTGCATGTTTTGGCCTTTTATTGCCTTTATTGTATAGTGACAGCTGAAGATAGACAGGAAAGGGGGGCAGAGAGACAGGGGATGACACGCAGCAAAGGGCCGCAGGTCGGATTCGAACCCGGGCTGTGCTGCAAGCTACCGACTGAGCTAACCGGGCACCCACATCTTATTTGCTTATATAAGTGGTTATGCCCTTTTTTTTTAATTTTCACTGGCTTTATCTGAGCTTATTTCTTTATATGAATTTTACTACTTATTTATTTCATCTGTTCTTGCAAATTGATCAAAGACAATTATAATAATCATTTTATCAGTACAATATTTTTAACTATGATGTAGATATCTGTAGATAGAGCTTAATGTATCTTCAGATTTCTGCCAAATATTAAATGCATATGTCTGTCAAAAACAATTTATGGATTTGTGAGTTTAGGAAAACTCACTTGCAATGTCAGTGTGATGTCAGTTTTATTTTTGTTGGTTTTATTCATAAATTTGAATGGTAAGTTAGTTTTATGACTTACTGATTAATTGCCCATGCACCTGCTGTTTGTAGATGGTACATTCACTCAGACCTGGTAATCCACATTTGATCCAGGAAACAATCTACAATAATAACAGGAACGATGCCAATGAGACAAATAAACAAAACTTTTTATATGATAGCACGTTACTTTTTAACAATGTACGCAATGTTTTTGGCATGACTCAGTGTGCATAAATGGTTATGAATTAAGAAAATTAAACATGAAAATCTGCTGGTTTCACACTGTTATCCTAATATGAACCCAAACCCCTTCTACCATGCATGACAAATATTTAATGTTGAAGGCGAAGATCTTGAGCAGATTTGACCCTGATAATGCAGGCATTTATAATCAATGTGGTTGTTAAGTAAAATAATGACTAATCTGAAAAATTTGCCCACTGCAGAACTCTTATAGTTTCATTTGCAAAAGCAGACATTGAATAAGTGATGTTATCTATGTGATCTGGCAAAAATGTAACCCCATACCAAGGAAAGATGCCGATACCCCATTTTTCCCTTAAAGAAACCCTCCAATGATATGATGCAAGGCTGGCAAACTGTGCCATCTCTCGTTTGTGAACATGGTTTTTTTCTAAAGGTTGTCCCAAAGTCATAGGCAGTAACGCTAGGTTCGTAATTGTAAGATTTACAAAATAACACACACAACACCCAGACCATCCTGAAGGTAAGAATAGAAAAGCCTTATTCCCATAAAGCCAATAGAAATTCCCAATAGGTGGTATACCTTTATATGCATGAACGTTAAGAAGATTATCAACCAACACAGTCTCCACATTTAGAAATGTGATATTAACAGGTTTAGACCCAGGTGGGTTTAGACTGACAATAGGGTTTGCACAATGTGACACTCCCATAAACTGACCAGCACCGTCTGAACATAAGCTAATAGGGTGTAAGGATCTCAGTAGGTTCTGCCTTAGCTGACTCTGATGGGAAAGGCTCTGGCATCATATGTTCACAGAACCAGTCCACAAAAGATATATAGACATTCTCTTGATCTAATGTGTGACTATATCTCCCCTTAATTGCACTGTACCATGTATGGTGTGAAAATTTACACCGCTTATGTTTGTCATCGTCCATGTGTGGATGGTCTGCAAAATATTGAACTAGACTGATTACTGGATCAAAACAAGGACAATGTTTCAACTCGAGTTGGAATAAGGACTGCCAGTTTGCTGGAGGTCTCTGAACGGCCATAATAGTGGTATTAAACCCATACAGTCTACTTTTCATCCACTTGATAAATTAATACCAACTATTGTCTTGAATAGCACTATCTACCAATTAATTTGCATTAAACCCCCAAGGCTTCCACATTGTCTGGTCGTATAATTGTCTTTTCCTTCTGATCAGCTGTTGTTTTGTTGTTATGATGTCCTCATCTTCTGGGATCTCCTGACCCTGCGTGGGTGGCATGCCAATGCCACTTGTGCTGAGCTCTTTATGGTGTGTGGATTTAATGGAACCGTTTTGACCCATCTTTTGCAGTCCTCGTTCTGAGCAATTCTCATCCTGTTCGCTGAAATAGATGACCAAGACGGCAAGAGGCCACCACGCTTATGGAGATTGTAGTGCACCGGCTTTACAGCCTCATTCCTTGAAGTCATCCACATTTCCAGACACTAGGCTTTAGAGTTGTCTCCTTATGCTCCTGCCGCAGCAGTACATGCGTTACATCTACACTCCCTTTTTGCATACTTGCCTTGGTTGGGCATGGATCACCGTCGTCTCCATCCTTCTCTTCGCCATAGCTTATACGGACAGCGCACATACTTGGCAGTGTTTGGTGCTTCACAGGCACTTTGGGTTAGATTACGAAAGAGCGCTCGTCACTGGTTATGACGTGCCAGTGTATCTCAACTAATCAGATCTCCTCTTCATGTCGATCTACTCAACTCGCTCGTCTCAGCTCTTGGCTGGACTCGGTGCTACTGATGGCAGTTTGTTGTTCGGACGCTTCTTAAAATCATGTTTAAGGACGAGAACAGCTTTATACGTTAAGAACACGAACCACGATTGTAAGCTTGCTCATATAAATGGTGTTTCAGCATCTATTGGAAGTTAGGACAGTTATGAGAAGACTTCCACAGGGATTTACCATCTCTTTATTACATTATCGCATGCGCTAAATATCTAGAATTAAGGAGGTATTTTTTTTTCGTGGGGAGAAGAGTGTAGTTCATTCAATGGCATCGGGGAGGTAGTTTTCTCTTTGGCCCAAAATTGATTTGGAACGTTCATATACCCCGAGCCTGTACAGCTTTAGTGCGTGACTCGTCTCTCCAGCTAGATTGGTATGCTGACTCTCGCTGCACCCTTATACAGATTAAGCTAAAGAGCTGCGCCACATTTGGCTAACAACATGACTTGCTTGAGTGGTCCTGCTGAGAAACACGGTCAAGGGCTACCATCCCTGCCTCCCACATTGTGCTTCACGATTTACTGTATCTTATGATTCTCATATATACTTCTTTTCCTCAAAGCATCACCAGAACTCGCATGTTGGTTACTAGCAAGCTGCTTCGACTGGTATCGTGCGTCGGCTCACTTTAGTGAGCAGAATGCAAAGAGTTGCACACCAAGGAAATTGTCTGAGCAGGAAGCATGGCCAATGTACTCCATTCTGCGAGATATAATTTGACCCTTCTGCACGTCTGTTTCATCTCATACACGGAATAGACGCTCTAATAATTCATGGATCATCCTGATGTGCCATTGAAGGAAGCAGAGTATTTACTATATCAGAGACACGCTTTTGATGCAGGGTGATATAATTCTGCAATCAATAGAAGCGCTTACGTTCTGTGTTTACACAATAGACTCAAAGGAGGGAAATATCAAAGAATCAACTGGTGCAGAATACATCACATCAAAACGCATGCACGAGAAGCATGGCATGAGCAGCTGGGTTGTTCTTTCAGTCCATCAAACTATGTCAATCAGTGAAAGGGGGATGGTTCTAATTTTCTCCTGGCTTTTTAAAGCGCGTTTAAGTTATTTAGAGGGAATTCTATATCTAATAGGTGGACACAGTTTGAACCTTTTACTCAGGAACTTAATTCACGATGATAGATTCACAATTCCACCTATTATGAATTGTATATATCTCTGTGCAAAGACAACTCAAAGGTTTCATGGCAAATTTATTGTTCTTAACACGATACTTGATGTTGCTTGGAGTTCCTGTTTATACGTCAATATCAATGTCAGATTTGGAGGTTTTAAATTCATAAGTGCACTGAAGTAGAATATCGTAGAAGACCATCACATTTTAGTTTATGTCCGGGTTCCAGTAACTAGAGCACTAATCCTTCGCCCTCGGATTCGCAACACCAACCACTCGCTGTATCCTACTGTACACCCTGTTATTCCCTGCATCTTCATAGACATCTTCAGGAGCTAGCCCGGAGCTGGGGCAGCAGAAAGTGCATTTGCTTTAAAGGCATTTGTGAACATTACACTCCATTGGCGAGTATTGTTGACGCGGTTCTCTCTGTTCTATCTGTCAGCTGAGTTTAATGTTTTTTCACGGAAAAATTGCATAATTTATCTTACAGATGACTGACTTGATGCGTTAGAACACCTTCGTTATATTAGGAGTCGGTTGTTTCCTCTTGCTTTCTGTGCTGGTATCCAGGAGTTTGGAGAACGTGAACGACATGGTTGGGTGCCAGAGTTCGTGGTACGACATGCTGCAAACAGATGAAAGCCTGAGCATATTCATTCATTCACATCTACCTTTGACAATCAACTGATTCCCCTTTTTTCGATTAACAAACCGGTGAGAAGAGAATCTACTCCTAAACCTACTACCTGAAATCTGCTCGCTCTGCTAGGCGCAACACAATTATCTTCTACCTGACGCGAACACATACAGAGTGCTCCATTACTAGCAAATTGATACCATTCAAATGGTGTCCATAGCAGGTGTTTATATTATTTTCTTTGTGATGTTACATCATACGGACGGGAAAAATGTCAATGCACTTCCCGCCTTCCAAGCCACATCTAAGGTCCATCTTTAAACGTAAACTAAATTGTGAAATTCATCAAATAACGAGGTCGCGGTCAAGGATACTCTTTCGCCTGCTATTGCGCTCGCTTATATTTGTGGGACATCATCAGCACCAGTTTAGATTCTAGCGAGTATATTTCTGTTTGTTGTTCAGAAAAAACGGTAAATCCTGACAAGTATACGAAATTTAACAGGGGTTGAACACATAGGGGTAGGCAATATTTTTTGTGATTTGGTA